AATTAGAAATAATATAACCTTCTTCATAATTATTAATCTTTTTGTTTTATTCAGAAATGGACTTTTGTTCAGTGAATCCTTAAGATCACCGTGGAAACATTGTAAAGTATTCATATAAAGGTCATTGTGCCACAGATTTGAGTTTTACTGTTAAAGTGCATCAAAATAGAGAGAATTAACACTCTTTGACAATCACAGTCAAATCTTGCACGATGCTGGTTGGGAGTTAAAGAAAATATGAAAATGACATTTGCTGTTCACTAAATTCTGTGAAGTAAACATTGAGCACATACAAAGAAACCCAGTCCTATAACATTAGACAAGGCAGGGGGTGGAGAAAAATCCTCATTGAAAGAGATTTTAGATATATAAAAATCATTTCCTTCAAAAACTGAGTAAAACTTTGCTGTTGACATATGCAAGTAATACGCAAGTAATTTACAGACATCAAGACTCAAGAATGCTGCAAAAATTGGTCTTTGGGGAAAGAGTAGCAGCAAGAAAGCCCTTACTGTGGAAAGAAAATATATCAAAGAGACTAGCTGTTGTGAAAGAACACGTGTCCTGCTCTTTGGAACAGTGGCACAAAGTTCTTTGGACAGATAAATCTGAATTTGAACTGTTTGGCAGAGAGTAAATGAGAGGTTGAAGAAAGATTATCTTGTGCCCATGGTCAAGCATGTAGGAAGCTCTGTGATGGTTTGGAGCACAATATCTGTAAATGGTGTTGGCCATCTTCACAAAATTGTGATGGAACCATGAATCAGCATAAATACCACATTTTATTATTACACCATGCTGTACCATTTAGAAAAGGACTGATTGAGCAGAATTTCATATTTCAAGAAGGTAATGACCTTAAACATAATTCCAAGAAATAAAGCTCTGTATATCTTCAGTGAATAGAATGACCACAATAAATGCAGGTTAAGATCATAACCCCTTAGAACAAATCTTGGCTTTACTGGACTCCATGCTTGTCAAAACTACCAATTCTACTAGAGAAAGACTGAACACAGCTTTAAGAAAAATGGAATCAAATATACCAGAGATTGTTGTTATTCAGGCTAAAGGTGTCACACTAAATGTTAACATTGGAGAATCTTGATTTGACTTTACTAATTTTGTAGTACTTTTCTATAACATTAATTGGCAATAATGACCAATTAATTTCTATAAGGAATGGGTGATTATATTGTTTTCAAAGCTCATAAAGTAATTGTTGAGGTGTTGTTATTGCATGTTAATATATGTAAAATGTACTAATATCCAGATAATTTAACACCACATGGAAGATGTTGGAAAGTAAATAAATGAAAGATTTATGTAAAAAAAAATATGCGCTTACATTTCAGATGGCTAAACAGAATGTTAAAAATTCCATGTTTGTTCTGAACTAATGGAGAAAATAACTACTCATGTAAACACCAACATGTTGAAAAATTATTGGTGCTGAACTGTGTTTAATTAGTTTTAAGAGTATTTTTAATGCAAAATAATGTAAATCTTACTGGAAATCTTTCAGAAAAGTTGAATGTATTTGACAAGTAGTCTTTGAGTTAATGGCAGAAAATATGACTATTTTATTAGGTTGTGGGGCATCCTATCAGATCTGGAATTTGAAAGTGTAAGAGTAAGAATGAGGTTTATGGCTGTATAAGGCAATATTCAGGGATCAATTTATGCTGTTTTCTTTGATCTGAGTAGTTGTTAAGGTGTTTCTATCCTACCAAAGTGAACTATCTACATGCTGTGATCATACTAACTTGTCATTATTATCTGCTCTTATTCTTATAATATTAATGTACTTCACTCAGAAAAAGTTTTCATATTTTCTGTTTCATACCTGATCTTGAATCATTCTTCTACTTTGTGTTGTTGAGATTTGCATACACCAAATCATCTGTAAGATGTACCTCTATTTGGGCACTTGGCAGCACCTCCTGTGATTAATCTTTTTTGTTTTTTACTTATCCTTAAGAGTTAGTTTTTTAACAACTAGTGTGCCATTTTGATTGCATCTACAACTACCACATTTTTAATGCCTTGGATATTTTGGTACTTTACATTAACAGATCAGCTTGAATCTAATCTCATTTTCATCTTGACAACAACAAACAATTGGAGATTCTAACTTGTTATCATGGCTGTTCGTCGCAGGTTTCACAAAAAGTTTAGAAATGGTGAGTGTTCTGTAGATAACATACTACAGCAATGCCATGACCATTATTGAATTAGTGTAAAAAATCATCCAACTTTACTGACAAAACAACCACAACTATGCCTATTGATTCCTTATAAAATAATTTATGTTCTTGTAAATTTTCAGAAAGATAACAATAATATTAAAAAACAAAAGAAAACAACTAAATGCCAGTTACATCTACAAAGTACCCTACTATTTCTGCTGCTGTTGAGTTAGAATTGCTTGTTAAATTTTAAATTCTGGTATTTTTAATTTTTTTATATATTTATTTGTCTTTTATTTAAGACTTATCTAAATTATGCTTATAAAATTTTACATTATCTTTGCTCATATCTCCTAAATTGAAGTTAATTTAGTTGTTTTTCTTTTTTTGGTATTTTTTGAATATTTAAGACTGAGTTAGAAATGCACAAAGATTGTGAGTTTTTAATGTCCTGAACTTACCTTTTGATCATTGACTGCTCATGTTTTTTTCTGTTAGTTTGATAAGTTATTTTTCAAAATGAATAGTTGCTTTTTATAGTGGAGAAAGTTAAGGTAGGTTAATGAGTATTCTTAGTTTTCTATTTTTAAGGCATTTACTTTCTTAACAGCTTTCTTGCTTATTTGTGGGGTTGTTTGCTTGCTTTGTGATGATGGAACTAATAAGGGAAATTCAGTTATTTTAAAATATTGGCACTCTGGATATGGTTTTCAAATGAGTTTCAGTAACTTTTGTGTTTGTATTTAAAGCATGCTTTTTGGAGTTTGCTTTGGGGAGACTTGCTGAAGTTCATAGTAAAAGTAGCATGGGTAAAAAGTTTTTTAGAACTAGGAAAGAAATAGAAAAAGTTAAGGTTTTGTTTGTGGGGTAAGATGAGGTCAGTTTAGTGTTTTATGCATTGAAATGCAAATAGTTATACTACAACGATTTGTGTCTTTAGCTATAAATATTGGGTAAGTAAATATTATCAGCACCTAAATTAACTTATGCAAGTTCCTAATTTATAAACCCAAACTTATGCAAAGAATCAAAGAATTTTCTCAGTTATTATGTTTGTATATTGGTTTATTCATATTTCTTTACCTGTTAAGAACCACCCATCAAACTAGTTTTCTGCAAAATAAAAAGTAGTAAAGTATGCTTTGTATAATTATTCTTTAGGTATTTGTATGAAGTATCATTGTATTAACTGATAGGATTTGATTTTTATGAACTTTGTGCATTTCAAGTTAATTGATTTAATGTTCATGGTAGTAATATAGAGGTACATAGATGCATTACATTTATAATATACCCATTATATTAGCTCACTATTCAATGTGTGATTATTACTTTGTACAGTGGTTTGTTTTTCTCAACTTAAGTCTTCCATGATCAACACTTAATTTTGAAAGGTAATTTTTTCTGCTGTTTAGTTTGAGCTCTGTAGTAGAAAGATTTATTAAAATTGTCTTATGGTAGCTCATCATACCTTTTAAACTTTACATCAAATAACTTAGTATTTGTCATAAAAGCTTCCATGAATAGCTTTACGTCTTGTGAAGTACACATAATCTAAAAAGTTTGAACATCAGAATATTTTGGGTGAAACATGTTACTGAGGGACTTGTATTAGAAACATTTAGAGTTTTAAAGATTTATCCTTATTTTGACATAACATGCATTTCCAGCTTGTTCTTTATACACAATTTGTCTAAATGTACTTATTATATTCCTGTATTTAATTACCTTCATTATGTAATATAATCACACCAAGGAAAGTTTCAATGGATTTCTAATACAACTGAACACATTCTTGTGTATGGTGTTATGACTCAACACTAACATATTTTACTTGAAAGTTATGTAAACCTCTTTTTCCATTTTATTTTTGTTGAATCACATGATCGTACAAACCTAGTATAGTATTATATCTACTCTAGATTTAATTATTCCCTCATTGTTTGAAGAGAATTATATTTTTAAATACTTAGGGTCTTACAGTAATCTTTACTGAACCCATTTTGCATCAGGTGTACATATATGACAATGTGGATTGATAATTTAACCAACTTGTCAAATGAGATTAATGTTAGTATTGGTTATTCATCTTGCTAGAAGTTATAGTTGCCCCCACTAACTTGTGATAACATTTTTTTACTGTAAAAATTATATTTGTTGTTAAATTCTGTTGTGAACTATATGGTAATGGTATATTCTCTTTTCTGCTTAACAAAACTGGTGAATGTTTATTTTGTTAGCTTCATTATCATTGCCTATAGTTGATTCAAACATGGTTTTGTTTTATCAAAATTTAATTTTCATTGAGTTTTGACAAATATTCATGCTCTTGTCAGCCATAACAATTTGGTGTGGCATTCACCATATACATATACTGTCTCTTTCTTTTATCATAGTTTTCTTTGACTGCTTTCCTTATATGTGATGCCATTTTGTTTTACAAGGCTACAGTAATGAAATAATTAGATACTCGTTTAATTGAGGGTAAAGTACAAAAAAAAAAAAACAGCTTGGTTCAAATTATATTTTGCCTGTCATTTTGATATTTTTACTTGTCAATACAAGTATACAAATGGATTTTTTCATTTAATGTAAGACAACAACAACAATAGTTTAGCTGTTAATTCTTTTCAGCTACTTTAGTGTGTTGATCAGTACTTTCAATATTTTTTTTGTGTAATATTAAACTATAGGTACTACAGTATGGTTTTTATAAACTTCCATTGTATGTATTTGCTTTACTCAATGTATTTTATGTGCAATCCTGTACTAAGGAGTTGAAATATAAATATTGCTGTTAATATCTTTCAGAATCTATGGAGTCGATGGAGTAGCTTTTAGAACTGTTCAAACAGTGCTATTTAGAAATTTCGTTTAAAATGCCTAAAAGAGGTAGCCGAGATGTGGAAGGAACAATTGTAAAAAAGAAAGGTAATGGCATATTCCTTTTCAAAAAGGATAGTAATATTCTATTCATTTTTGCCCAGTGTGCACTCTCAGAAGATAAGCTGACCAAATTAAAACTTAAAATTTATTATTAAGGAAGTTGAGCTTTTGTACAATATCAAAATTTTTATAGTTCATATATATCTGGTACTTTATGTTGTTTGCCAATTTTTACTACACTTTTGTGAAAGACTGTGCTTTTTTTTTAATTAATATGAAAAAATAGTAGAATTGTCAATTAAATTTTCACCCATTGGTTTTATAATAAGTTGCTAGTTTCATTCCTTATGCTTTAACATGTAAGTAGCATGCTCAGATAACTTTTCAGATCAAAAGGCATTGAAAATAAATATAAAAGTTTTAATCTCTTATGTTTAATTTTATTTAAAACCTGAGATGCTTTGTTGGATCAGAGACAATTGTATAAGTTTTGACCAACTATTTCTGCACTCATTTACTTTAATTATCAAAATTGTCATTTTTAATGTTTATCATTTATCTTAATCTGCTTTTTCTTTTTCATTTGGTAAGATACTTAAATCAGTGTCAAAATGCTACAAATAGTTGTCATCTTTCATATTTATTGCTAATATTTAAAGCTGTAATTCTGTTTTAATACATATAATGAAGCTATGTCATTTTTAGTTACTTCCTACATTGAAATTTGGTGTAAACATATAAGTAAACAAATTAGACTTTTGAAGATGAATCATTTTAAAACTATATTTGTAGTTTTTTTCTAGACAATGTTTTAAGCAAATGCTGTTTTTCAAGTCAGAAATACGCCTGTCAGTTAATCAGGGCTCAATTTTTAAGGAAATTTCCAGGTTATCTGGAAGGCTGTATTGGTCCCTCCCCCCCCCCCCCCCCAAAAAAAAAAACCAACAAAGCATAAACCCTCAAAAAAGATCCAATTATGATAATATTGATATACAAAGACCCTAAAAAAGACCCAATTACAATATATTTTTTCCTAACATTTTCAACCCCTTTTGGTGGATTGTATCAATATTTCTCTTGTACAAAGTACAATCTTTTTTAAAAAAAAAAATGTGTGTTCAAAATTTTTAGTTTGTAGTTAAGAAATTTGCAGATGATTTTGGTCGAGGAACAGAGTCAACATTATGTGTGTAGTATGGTCATGGATAAGTGTACAGTAGACTGTGATGCTGCTTTGAGTAAGGGTCTCTTCCAGGGTGCTAGTCATCTGTTATAAAACATGGAGGTAGTGGGTCATCCAAAGAAGTTTTTTAGTATTCTCTGACAACTGCTAAAATCGAGCCCTTGTGCTTGTAGTTGTCATTAACTGACAGGTTTTTTTTTTCTGGTTTGAAAAAAGTGTTTGCTCGAAACATTGCCAAGAAAATAAACTACAAACATAGTTTTTAAGGTAATATATCTCCAAAAGTCTAATTTGTTTATTTTATCACCTTTGTATTTATTTATAAGTACACAAAATCATATAAATAAATTTTTCTTGGGGTGGTAATTCTGTATTTTGAGTTAGCTATGTTTAAGCAAGCAAGAAACATTTGCATTGTCTTTAATCAATTTTTCCTCAGTTAAGATGAATTTCTGACATGTAGGATAGAATTTTTATTTTATGTAAGATTTAAATTTTTTTGCTAGTTTTGGTCATCTCTGTATATCTGTACTTAACTTTGGTATTGAATAACTAATGATGTAGCTTTTTGGGTGTCTTGACTAAATATTGGTCACACTGATCAGTATATAATAGCACAACACACTCTCATAAAATGTTTTACACATTATTAGCAATACTTAGTTCTAAATCTTCAGTAATATTCTTGTAATATATATTTAATAATTTCTAAAAATTGGGCAGATACTGTTGATTTTGACACTTCAATTGTTGCTGGTAAAATACATTTTGCTTTCAAACAATATTTTTTTTTTCTCTTTAAATTTATATTTTCTTTCTTTTTTACTTCAGGGCTGTTCAACTAGTAGCTTATTGGCCTCATTTAGCCTCTGAAGCACTGGGAGTATCCCTTACTATAAATTTAAGTTTGTCAATTTATAAAAAAACCCACTCATTTCCCATTTTAAAGGAGCAGAGTGTTATTTGTATGTTTCTTGTACATCTTAAATTCTGTCTTAAGATGTGATATCCTTAGAACAGTGGACAGATATGCATTCCAGCATTTGAGTAGAATTTAGGATTCTAGATTATTAATTAGCTGTCTGCCCCACAAGTTAATTGCTAAGTTGCAGTATGCCCATATCTCTCTCTCTCTCTCTCTCTCTCTCACACACACACACACACACACACACACACACACACACACACACACACACACACACACACACACACACA